GTAAAATCCTGTAAATCTGCGGTACAAGTAAGTGACCTGAACTAGCTTCGCTAAGAAAAACTAGTTCCCCCAACCCTCACCCCTCAATCTCCCAGCCGAACAGCGCCTCGACATGCCAGATCTACACAGAACGTTTCACAAACATTTATTAAGCTTTGAAGCTCCTGGACTACCTGTTCATTTCCGTAAGCTTTGTAGAATAATGGTGGCGTTCGTGCAGGATCCCCGAAACGTCGCAGTATGCACTTTGTTAAAAAATGCCCACTAGGCAAGGGTGAGAAGCTTCGTCTCAGCTAGGAACACAGATGGACCTCTACTAAGTTGAGTAGGCGGGGGGAGTGAGAGGTAAGGGAAGGGGAGAGTACTGCAGCGCCGAAGCACTTCTCTGTCCAAGGCTAAGGCTCAGCGCAGTTAAGACGAGCAAATCGAAGTGTCATAATGTGTCACGCCGTGCGAAGAATCGTGACGTCGGTCAGTACGACCCCCTATACCGCATTTCATCCGGTACCATCCCCTCTCCACTCCAACTACCATCTTCTTGACCTTTCCTAACTTCCTACCGCTTCTCCTAGTTCAGAAAAGAGTTTCATTCTGACCCCATCCCTCCCATGAAAAAGAATTGGGTCGAGCGGGAGAAGGGGGCAATCAGCATCAATGCACTACAATAGCGAGAAAAAGAATTGTATGGTAGTTTTTGGGTGCCGCAACTGTGGGGTGGGGACAGAGAATATGAAGAACGTAAGAAAAACCGAGAGAAGTCAGCAACCGGTTAATTTTCTCTCGCGGTCGGAAAATTGTTTTCGAAGGCGAATACAGCCCCTGCTCAGTGACCAGATACAATCCCCTTACAGGATTTCCCCAACGATATTGTACTCTGCTCGTAGGCGCGATGCCCCATGCTTTTTTTTTCTCCCGAACTATGTTAGCGCTTGTACAACAACTCTCACTATAAATCAGGTGATGAAAATGAATGCCTACTGCCCATTACATTACCCTCATCAGATCGATGCTTGACTGAACAGGATGTTCTGACACGCCAAGAAGTTGAACTACCTGAAAGGAAGCTTATTGAATGAAAGAGAAACAGTGGCGGTAATAAACTCGATTACATTTGAATCGCTACGAATATGTGAGCTTTTGCTGCGGAATCGCCAAGAAGATCGTAGAATTCCTCATTGTACAGCTCAACGAAACGGCATACCACCTCGTATTTAAAGTTCTCTCCTTTCTGAAAATCATTTTCTCAAGAAACACATACTACAAAAGCATAAGCGCTCTACCTCAGCTGTCATGGTGCATAACTTTGTGAAGAGCGCGTCACAGGCTCGCGGGATAAGTCCGCGATGTTCAGCATTTACAATAAAATTGTCGACTTGGGGAGGTCCGAACATTGTATAAGTTTTTCCTGAGCCGGTTTGGCCTAAAGTATGACAACTTGCGTAGCGTGCTAGGGATATGATTTGGAATTGTATACTCACCATATGCGAAAATGGTTCCATTGAATCCGTTTACACATCCGTCTACGATATGGTTGGCAACTTCTCGATATACTTGCTCCTAAGAATGGGTTCAGATGAGTGTGATGATGTGTTAGCTTTGTTGTTTGCATCCACATCTGCGCCGGCGTTTTGAACGTACTTCAGCATTTTGAGCACTTTGAACGACTGGGAAAGTATACGTATCGACGAGCGTTTTGAAGACAGCCCCCTCATGTAGTTCATGGTCGTCCTTCCTTGTGCAAGTAGTACAGCCCCCGAGCTAGAGACTGTTCCACTCTCTCGCGACTCCACAGCGAGCGAGAAGCGAGCTACAGCCGCTCAAAGTTCTAGTTCTAACGCCCGCCCAGTTGGACCGCCCCACTTGCTAGCTGCCCTCTGACGGAGAGCCGCTCAGTTGTTCTTTGTTGGGACGGCGGGCATTAATCGGGAACTGCATGTACTTTTTGCTGACCGCGCTCGTGCCCATAAATAATTCTGCTCTCCTTCATCACATTTTATTCATTGGGAGCACATACAGTCAACTGCAACCCATCTCGTAAGGTGAAACGCGTAAAAATCACGAATGATGCAATTACTGTGGTGCAAAAGCTCGACATGCACGAAAAGCCGCACACTGCGGCTAATGCCGTTTGGACTCCAGCAACTTCGGCACCGAGCTCATTTTTAAATTACCTAAGTCGCCAAACCCGCTGAAAATATGTACACAAGGGTTATTTACCATCCTGATTACAATTATGACACTCATTCTTGGCGCTGGCGCCAAGGGATGACACTACGATTACCTCTTGGGCTCAGCCTTAGCGGAGCGCAGGTAATCGTAGTGTCATCCATTAGCGCCAGCGGCAAGAGTGAATGTCATATTCGTAATCAGGATGTTAAACTACCCCTACATACAAGTTTTTAGCGGATTTGGTAACTTAGGCAATTTAAAAATGAGCTCGGTGCCGAAGTTGCTGGAGTCCAAACGGCATTAGCCGCACACTGCACGTAACCCCGAATTGGGACGCCAGGTTTTTCAATTTTTCCATTTTCCAAGTGTTTTTCATCCGTGTCTTTGTTGTTTTTCATATTCTTTTCTTTGAATTGGATGTTGTCCACTACTGGGAAACGGGTGTGTGGTGTTCTTAAAAGATCTCACTTCACACCTATCATGCCTCTCGGGGAGACTCGCCTGCGGTGTTGCCTGACTTAATTGCTCTCTCACTAACTCCTGACCTCTCGTCTACAGACACGACTGAGCCAAACTGAACATGGAAAGTAGAAGGAAAAAATAAAAGTAAACGTTGGAAATGTCAGAAAAAAAAGATGTTTTCATAAATTTAAAATGTCAAGAACACATTTAACCACTTAGAGCAACTGAAATGCAGACGTACACAACATGAAATTACCGCAATTTGAATGGGAAAAAGGGCACGTATTGAAAAAATTCTATTGTTTTCATCATGGAAGGTATCCCAAAAGATTTGAACTTCTAGGCTCTGTAATTACTTGAAGGTTGAATGCGTTCTGCGCCAAAAACTCGCTGTAATTGGACTCTATTGATGCCCATCTATATGCCTCATCGGTTCTTCGGGAGCAGTTACTATGCATATGCCGTTCTCGTTTTATGCTTTAACTGGAAGCACACACCTCGACGCCACACATTTCGATGGGATGAACTTCGGCTCAACTCCGCTTCCTGCTCTTAATGCGCCGGCTTCATTGTCACTTTCAGCACACAACTCGCTCATTTTATTGCACATACCTCCACTCCAGGTTCCCAGCAATCTTCAGATTCCCTTTTAGCACCAGCAGAAACACAACCACGGGTTATATGGGCGAACGACAGTTAAGCAAATATGGAAAACGAGACGGAATAATTTACAGGATTGTAGGTACCAGCCACTCGTTCACTTTTTATTACATGTATGGGACGAAACACTACGAGTTTGCTACTAACACTACCATCTAAGCCTAATTTAACTTGAATGTAATACAATTTTCAATTTTTCGTGTTTCGTTTTAATTCATTTCAGCATGCTTTTCATCTCTGATTGTTTCATGTGATTCAAATTTTTTAAATTGTAGTCCTTATTTCTATTAAATTTGCTAAAAAATCAGCTGTAAATAATCAGTCACCATGATGTAATCGTTAAGTAAAGGTCAGGAGTTTGAGAGAGTAATTAAGTCAAGGCAACACCGCAGGCCAGTCTACCCGAGAGGCATGATAGGTGTGAGGTGAGATCTTTTAAGAAAGTCCTGCACCCCTGGGAAACGCCATAAAGGGAATCGTGAGCCAGGGGTTGCCCACGGACCGCAGGGCGGTGTAACTGTAAGGGAGCAATTTTGTTTGTGGTGTTCTTGAGGGCTCTTGTTGCTTTTTCCTTCATTGAGGAATTACTTATCAGCTACTGTTTCATAATTGATCAGCAATTATCCTTGACATTTTTATCGCGGGAGCTATCTTTGAGCAACTAGGAAAGAATAGACATTGATCCGAAGTTTGCTGAGACTCCCGCGAAAAACTCAAAAGGTTGCCGCACGCTAGACCGATCTATACTTTCACAGTGGCTCAAGACGCTCAAAGGGCTGACGCAAGTTAACAACGCATTCTGGAATGGGCCACATGTAAAGGCGAGCCACTACGCCGACTTTGATCGTCTGCACTCCTATTCTCATCGTGGTAGTGATCCCTTTCTTCTAAGATTGAATCTCAATCTCAGATTTGAATGACGGGTGGGGCCGCTCCCTAAAGCCACCATGTGGCCCCTCCAACTACTACAGCGACAATGAAGTTATCTAAATGAAGACCAACTCGAGCACCTTACCTGCGGAATCGTCTCATCGAAAACCCCCTCAAATGCGTACGTCCTCTGCTCACTTGAATTGAAACTGAAAAAAAATCATTGAAGTGAGGGAGGGAACAAACACAAATGGGGGCCCTTACCATAACGTTTTACCATCAAGTACGTATGTTATCCGCTCGCTATCGCATGCCGATGGACGTATTCTTGCAATAACACGAACCGATTCAGCGCTTACCATATCTGAAATGTGCACCAAATGTGGACCATGGGAACTTAAACCCTGTTCAAAAAAAGGGAAACATAGTGGGGAAAATACATGCGAAAGATGACCGCACGCAATTATTGAATGAGAACGGCCACCCTAACCATAGAAGTGATATTTTGAATTATCGATTGAAAGAGGTCTCGACAGTACGCAGGGGCGGTACTACTGGCGGTACCGTACTCAACCAACCCCTTCTTTTCTTTCGGCAAGCGACAGGACTATATCATATCGTTCGTATCAACCCTATTCCAGAAATTATTGTCTCTTACTCACTCCAAAAATGAGCACAGAATGGGCTGGAGGGGCTGGTGCGGGTTATATAATTGCGGTCATCACTGCGGAGGGACTTTTTTTACCTGGTACATATGTGGAGGGAGTCGCATTTCATCTTGGATGCTTTTTGAGATTAATGGTTTTCCCCGAATTGAGCACTCGGTATTCCCTTTCTCTGCGCTCGACGGCAATTTTCGGGGGGATTGTAAACTTCAGTGAGATTGTGGGTGATTGTGAAGCTGTTGACTTGTTCTATTCAGAGAGCAACTTTAACACAATTGACGACAGCGTGAATCGCATGCAATGCGCACTTTGTAGGCCGCGTGGGACCGCGTGCATATATACGATTCACGATCAACAAATCCATATCTTTCACCAGTGCATGGTTTTTTGTTTACTTTCCCATATTCATACTATAGTTCAACCCTCAGTGTACTCGCACAACTCGTGGTCCATGAAATAGTTTAGAACTCACTAGTTTAGCAAAGACTTCCTGGGATAGTATACCCTTCGCTTCGATTGATTTGTCTTCAATCATTTACTCACAAATATGAACAAATACAGCAAATACAACCATATGAAAAATGTAATGAGGGTTCACTTTCTTATAGAAGGCACGACCTGTGTTTCTTGTGGAAACATTGGACCCAGAAAAATCTTTGGCAGCGAGTGATGGCTTGCCTAGTTTTCTTCATAGCTATTGCACGTCCCTGCTCTTTCGAAATTGTGGGGTAGCATCCGGACATCGCCTTATAGTTCTTGGGACCTCGTACTTCTTCTAGCTCGTGTCTTGTAGGAAGGGGCTGAGCCGGAACATTCTCATGCATACTGTTCAGCAACGACTCGACCAAGTCCATTTTGAAGTCATTCAGTCGCACTTTCCCTATTACATCCTTGTACAGGGGGCCAAAAAAAGTCACTTCGACCAAGTCACATATCAGCAAAGTTTTCGCAGCCCAGACAGAGGACGTGGATACGAGTACCAGGGCGGAAGATACCCAAGATGTTCCTCGATAAGCAGGAGCTGGCTCTCGCCCATCACCTTCATGTACACCAAAATATGAAGTCATCTCCAGTCGCAGCCTGACTGGAGAAGACCTTTGGAATTCATGTCACCTCCAAACAGCTGCGAAACTTCTAGTATGGAGTCACCCATGGATAGCTACCTGGAGACCAGTACTCTCGATCTGGAAGACCTCCAACATCGAGCAGCTCCGACAACGTCGCTACGGTCTAGGACATCATCTTCACCGTAGTCGCCGAGGCGCGAGTTGATGGTATGGACCGGAGTACCTAGAATGGGAAGACCGATATTTTCTTTGTAGACCCGGACTGAAGGTGAGCGCTGGCGGTTACATCGAGCAACTCGAGAAGAATATCCTCCCTACATGTCGTCCCGTACCTTCTTGGAAACTTTGTACTGCTACAGGTTTGGGTGCCACCACATGGAATCGAAGGGTGTTGGAAAAACTCTCGCCTACTTAGAAGGGAAGGGCGTTTAGTACCTGAAGAAGATGAAATATTAAGTATGTCCCCTGACCTAAACCCTCTCAATTACCGGGTTCAGGAGGAGCTCAACAAGGGGGTCTACAGTGGCCGAGAAATCAACTAGGAGCTCAACAAGGGGGTCTACAGTGGCCGAGAAATCAACTATCTCGCTGAAGCCACGTACCGAACCACGGTTGCGTGGCAGAATCTCTCGATGGCGCTCCTCCAGAAGGCTGTGGCGGAGTATCATGATAGTATTTAATATGCTCTTTAATATGGTGGTAGAATTGTCCGATCAGGATTTGATAAAGTGTAACTTATAACGCCTCGAATGTCAAGGAAGAAAAGTGCTTTTTTTGGCCCCCTGTATAGCTTCCAAGCGTTCACCACTGCTGTTTGCGTGAGCAAATGGAAGAATATTCTCTTGTACCACTTCGATGTTTTGCGTACATCATCATCCGATGTGATTAGTTGTTGGTGAAGTCCAAAGTATCCTCAACGTTTTCAAAGTTATTAGCCATTTTCATGCGCCTGAATAAGCATCTTCTTGAGCGGAGTTCTGGCCTTTTGTGAATCTTTTATGTGCTACTAGTATTTGAGTTGACTTACTTTATACTTGCTCTCCAAATCAGATTTTCTGATCCAACCTGTAAAAAAGGGCGCCTCGTGGGACCGCGTGAATTGTATGAGTCTCGCGCCTGTCGCGTTCGAAAAAGTGCGCGTGTCCCACGCGGCCGAAAAGTCAAAACGCGCGTTGTCGTCAACGTGTTAATATTCCAAACTAATGTGGTCGATATTGTGGTATCGGAAGACTTCGAGTTTAAAGGTCGTTGGCGTGATAATTCTCCAAGACGTGCTGGACTAATTCGACTAGTAGAACTGAACTCGGAGACCCTCAACGAGCGCTACGCGGCGCTCTTCCAAAAAGGACTCTTCTAGTGCCCTGTCAAGCTGAGCATACCGACTTAAAACGCCCACCGTGCCCGCCCGCCCACAAATGGACGACCGATCCTGATGCTCGTATCGCTTCATTTGCGAAGTACAATATGAAGCGAAGGGATTGATATGAAACGGTTGTGGTGCTGCATGGAGATGTGAGTGCACACGTGCACCCGTAGTTACCGCAGCGGTTGTTGGCACGATGTCAATGGGAAACTCGTCCGAAATCGCTTTCTAAGCCAATCAGAGTGAAAAGTGTGGGCGGAAAAGGCTTTTTTGCAGGTTTCTGACCGTTCTACTACTTCGCCTTTTCGCCATTTTCCCCACTAACAAGGGAGGTCTTTCAGGTCATGACGCGCTTTTCAGAAATGGTTTGTTGCATGTTGTAGGGGTCCATATAAGGATCACAAAAATGGGTTTCGTTTTTGCTATGCGTTTCTGGGAAGGTAAAAAAAAATGGGTGAAAAGTTTGCTGAGGAAAAGCGATTTTGAACCATTTTTCTAGGCTCTTTTCTATTTCTAATGTCGAGTATGCATAGCAAATGAGACCTTCGTCGACACTGCATCGAAAACAATACAAGTCAAGGTGAAAAAAGTACTTTATTTGGCACACAGTGAGGTAGCATTGTAGTTTCTCAAGTGGTTCTCGCAGCATCCCAACCCATAGGCAGGGTGGAGGCGGGGGTATTCAGATAAGCCACTAAGTGTAGGACCGGAATTTTTCGAAAAACTACAGTAGCAGCTTCGTTGCAGGACCAGCTACCGTACTCTCGGCATGCTATTTCCAGAATTTTCAACTGGCCTAATTTCGCGTGCGCCTTCTTCTGAATTTAGGGTGGTTGATATACGTTTCTTGGATAGTGAGAGAAGTTTATCAACTTGAACAAAATCTTTTGTAGGTTTCAGTGCCGGATATGAAGGCAGTTTTCCACGAGACTAGCTAAGGAAGTGTTATGTGGACATTAGAAGTTTAAGCTTATAACGATATGCGGAGTTTTAGAATGGATCCTGAATAGCCCAGGATCCATTCTAAAACTTCGATCATTTTTGATTGCTTCATTCAGTGACCTTAGGCTAGAATACGTACTCGGTCGCTAAGGCGTTGAGCTGTTTATGTCCTGTTGCTTAGTATGGATCTAGATTAACCCCTGAAAAAATCAAATGGAAATGGGCGGGTAAATAACTTTGGCATATTGAACTGTTCCTACACAATCTCCCGAAATCACACCGGTCTTTAGCGACCTTTTGTGCAAGGTCAGATTTGGAAGACAATCTGCTTTCAGAGGTACTTCGACCTCCTAAACACGAATATCACATACGCTCCGCCCGAAACCGCCTGGCTATTACCGAGTTTTTATCACTTTCGGGAAGAAAAGGTTTGAAACAAACAAAACAACGTGTATAGCGCTAAATGGCGCCAGCGCCAGGAATGAATGTCATATTCGTGATCAGTACATCGGATAACATCTGTGGACAATGTATCCACGAACAAAAAAATTTTGAGGTGTTGTGGTAGGAGTAGTTCAACAGCGCCTTACCGTTTGTATCACGAGAAATCAAAGCAGGAACCGCAAAACATTAACACATATCATATCTTGCTATTTCCCTCATCCCGTGCTTGAAAATACCAATTTTCCTTCCCTCAAGTTGATGTAAATCCTTCCAAAAGTTTCTATCCATGTAGCAAGTAGGAACGAAAAGGTAATGCTAGGCATATGCATACTGAACCCCACTAAAAGGCAGAAAGACTGTCCAGAATCGTATCATAGTCGTTTTTTTAACGAATGCATATCGCCCGTTCACTCAGAATCCAAAATCGAGCGCATGTAAATTTAGGCCAGCTTAGAAGGTATGCAATGCAACACAGGTACGGTAGCTGGTCCTGCAACGAAGCTAAGTACTGTAGTTTTTCGAATAATTCCGGTCCTACACTTAGTGGCTTATGGTATTCAGGGCTATATTGGCGCCAAATGGCTTAGGCGCCAGTTATAAAGGTCAGAACCGTGATCAGGGTCGTTAATACACACACAGACTCTACACACAGACTTTCAGCGAAATTTTTCTCCTCGAGCTGTTCGAGCTATGATGGTTGGTCTTGTTGAACTGGTGGCTATCAGTATCCTGTACAAGTAGTTATCCAACTTCGATACCTGGACCTTTCTATTTACTAGTATATACCCTCATAACTAACAACTACAAGTTTAAGAAGAGACATACATATGTATTGCACAATATCTACACCTGGAAAGTTAAAGTGGAACCAGTTACGCTGG